GTACGTATGTATGTATGTGTGTATGTGTGTGTGTGTATGTATGTATGTATGTATGTATGTATGTATGTATGTATGTATGTATGTATGTATGTATGTACATATGCGTGTATGTAGGGGCCCAAATCGCCTGCCGGCAGGAATAGTGTAGGCATGTGTAGGCCCCAGCGCCCGCCATGGGTGCGTCTGCCGCCTACGGTCATGATGGCATGCGTGCCGTGCACAAGAGGTTTCGCCCCCACCCGACGTGTTGGTGTTCATGGCACGAAGGAGGTTGCGTGTGGCTTCAAGAAGACACTGACTTTCCACGTGCGCGCCATCAAGCAGAACAGAGGTTCGCCAGGTGGCCATGTTGAACATTGGCATGGAGGACACGCTCGCATACTGCACGGTAGAGAAGTTTGCGGCTGGCTTCAAGAAGACGCTGGCGTTCCAGACGTGAGTTTTCAAGCAGATCAGGGGCTCGTCAGCAGAGGGCATCTGGATCATCACGCTGAAAGCTGGCACATACTGCACTTCACCCGATGTGTTGACGTTCATGCTGGTGCCACGCTGTGCAAGTTGGCCATGTTGAACACTGGTAATTGAAGAGGACACACTGGCATACTCCGATGTGGTGGCTTTCATGGGCGCGAGGGACATGCTGGCCGTGTTGAACATTGGTTTGGAGGACATGCTGGCAGACTGCGCGGCGGAAGAGTTTGCGGCTGGCTTCAAGAAGACGCTGGCTTTCCAGTCGCGTGTCATCGAGCAGAACTGAGGCTCGTCAGACGAGGGGAGTTGGGTCAACTAACTGAACGCTGGCACCTACGGCACCTCGCCCGACATAGCCGACATAATGGCGTCCACGGGCGCGAACGATACGCAGTGCAAGGTGGCCACGTTGAAGCTTGGCTTGCAGGACATGCTCGCATGCTACATGTTAGAGGAGGTTTCTGCTGGTTTCAGGAAGATGCAGGCTAATTCGGATGGTAGTTCGATTGGTGCTGAGATAGCCGGCAACGGAATACTATACAGAGAATCCCTTGTCGGCCGAGCATTCTCTTGCTAGAATGATCCTTCTGATGACAGTCTGAGTGGCCACCAGATTTGGCAATTCTCTGATGGTTTCCATGTGCCTATGTTTGATTTTGTTGAAGGGGTGGGACAGCTTCTCCGTCTGCTGGTGGTCACCCGTGTCTGGTAAGCGCATACAATGTCTATAGATTTCTGCGCCTCCTCCCAAGTTTAATTAAAGCATTCCAATACGGCTGCGTCCGACTCGGACTCTGTGTCTTGAAAGAGTGAAAGTCATGTATATATGTCTGTATGTCTGTCTGTTTGTCCGTCTGTCTGTCTGTACGTACGTGTGTGCACAGTAACAGTTTGAGCGGCATCGCTGCCTGAAGCACTGCAGCTCGACGCCTTTCAGCTTTTATTTATTCTACCAGTAGCATCCGTTTGGCGCTTGCTCTTGACGTCAAGGCTTTCTCGCGAAGTGACTCTCGATCTGGGGCCATTGCTCAGCAGCTTGGGCGATTTTCGGCGGACGACGCGCTGCATCCGTCCTCACCACGCCCCTTGATGGTCGTAGACCGGTGCTACAGCGGACGAGATTCTTGCCTTCCCTTCTCTTGGGCGATCGAGACTTGCTTAGACGGCATCTCTGGCCAGTGGCTTGGAAAGTGGGGGGCTGACACGGCATTGACGCCCGTGAACCGTGGATACCCCGGTGACATCTTGAGTCCGACATGCAGGTGGCCCATGCAGGTGGTTGCTGCACCGTTCGGCGGAGGAGCGGTGACGGGCCCTGGGTCACATTGCAGAGGAGGCGGCGACACCCAGCCCGTCAATCGCCAAAACCTGTCGGCGCCGCCGATCTGCCCCTTGGCCCGGCTTCTTCGCAATCCGCGCCGGTGGTCATTGAATGCCACGGTCGGGGGCGCAAAAGTGCAAAATCACCGAAGATTGGCTGGAGAGTGTGGCTGGCTGCCCGGTGACTGCAACACATGGGGCGTCTGCAGTCATGCATTGCAGGGGTTAAAGCTGCATGTGCGTTTTTGGTCCCTGGGTCCTCTCGAAACCCAACTTTTCCGGAGCTCGATGTGACGGTTCGACGGGGATCCATATCCCGGCGTCGCTTTTCATGCACATCCTCGCAGCTCTACGCGGCGGATGCTGCAGCGGAGGACGACCTCATGTCCTGCTCTATATTCTCTGAGACGGGGCGTTTGGGGGGCTGGATATGGCTGGATGCACAAGTGTGTTGATTATGTTGGCCATGTCTCAAACATTACGTTCCAGCCATCTTGTTGCTGAAATCAGAGGTGTCCAGAGTTGCAGCGTGTTGAAAAGCATCTGCATCGAAGTCCATTCATTGATAATTGGACCTGCTCGCTGAGCGGCAGAAAGCGGCGCTTTCTACCACACGACGGAAAAGGGGTGTCGTTCGTGATGTTTGGCGTCTACAGCTGAGTGCGACGGTTGTTGGTAATGTTGTTGACCTGATGCACCTCGGTGTTTTTGCTTGCAAGGAGATCATGAATCAACTGGTGGAGCTCAGACATGAGGACGGCGGCATGACAGCAGGGGCTTGCATAGCACTTCAAAGCAACCATTCTGGCCTTTGAGGTTTCTGTTTAGTTAATTCAGCAATAAGGGCTAGCATTTCAAGCGTGTGGCGGCTTCTGCTGAGAGTCACTGTGAACGACGAACGACCGACCGCTTGTCAGCTCTGGTAGCAGAAACCGATTGAAACACAGAGGGGAGACTTCTGCCTGCATGGAGGTTCTCTGGTGTCAGCCATTCCGTACGTGGCGTGAGGCGCGACGGTGTTGGACGCTACGTGGCAGTTGAAACTTCGAACATGTTACAGTGTTACAGTAGTAGCTGGTATCACACGAATCACGCGTGGCATCATGGGCAGAACTTTTGGCATGCTGGAGACTGTGGGATCATGTGATTCTCTTACTCGCAGCAACTGCAGATGTGTTCGGTTCAGCATGTGGTGACAGGCAGGGCATTTGCCACTTCTACACCTGAACATATTACAGCTGAAGTATCAGTGTCGCAGTCCTGCAGGAGCTTCTTTGGAGCCTCCGCCCTGGGGTGATTGCCTGGGCGCTCAGGATGTAAAGTGAAGCTTCGAAGGATGGTAACCCGTGGCCTGCATGTTTGGGACGCTTTTTTGATGGAGCCCCGAAGCCGACACCCAAAAAGGCCTGGCCCACAGAGCGGCAACTTGACGAGGAGCGCAAAAAGCAGGGCACTCGGGTGCATGAGAGTTGCTTAGTGTTGGTAGTAAGGATGCTGGATGTTTCAGCTTACGTATTGCCGTGTTTGAGTTCTGGTTGATGTTCGCGAGGATAGAGGGAGTCAGAAACACAAAACCTGGTGAACCTTGCATCCCTGATGCAATCAATGCTGTGTGTCCCTGAACCGACCTTGAATTTCTGCCACATCCGGCCTTCGACCCCTGTCCCCCAGACCGAGTCCTGGAAGTGCACCGTCCCAGGGTTCCAGGACATCAGAGGTTTTCCAAGAACGACTCAGCAGGGTTTTTTGAAAGAGGCAAAGCCGGGAGCGTCCAGGTCGTCGCACGTCGAGGAGTTGCCCATCGATGAGCACCGTGACAAGATGCTCGAACAAATTGGATCCGGGGTTTAGAACTCCCGGCTTCCAAGCCAAGGGCAGGCTTCTACAACGGCCCTCGTCACTAGACTCTTGTGCTGCTGTGCATGTCATGAAGTTTCTCTCTGACATCAAGGATCTTGAAGCACATCGAAACTCATCGCGTCACGCCTGCCACCCCAGCTTGCCAGCTTCAATCGGTTGGGTTGTCGTTTTCTGCATGCATGCGGGAGACAGGTTTTTCGGGGCTCAGCGGGGCGGTTCTGTTCAAGGTTTTGCTTGCGCGGAGTGTGGAATACTGGTGCCGCCTTGGGTGTGTTTGTGCGAGCCATTTAGACTCAAAGTGGATATGCAGGTCATCGTTCAGTCTTTCGCGCTTTGTGCCAAGGAGGCCAAGGGAGAGTCCTCATCACAAGAACAACATTAAACTACGGTGCGTGTGTGTGTCTGTGTGTCTCTGAGCCAGCGCAGAAGTAGCGAGTGTTGGAGGCTTTGACGTGTGCTTTCAACTCGGCCATGCCACTGCGGCAGAGCCTGTCTCTGACAGACTTGAGCTCCTTGGGCGGAAGCCGTTCTACGTCTTTTTTCGATGCTGTCAAGGCCAAGACGCACCAGTTCCCCTGGGAGACAAATGATTGCATGTTTGTCATGGGTCCCGTCGGGGACATGCTGCTGAAAAAACTGAAGGAGAAGGACGTTACACCGACTGCGGATCCAAGAAGCTATTCAACCAAGTCCTTCTGCTCTACACCGGTATCTCCCTCTACAGCGCTCCGCCGTGGGAAGTGCAAGATTGCAGGCAGCAGGTGCAAGCGTTACAACCCTCGCCTCTTTATCCCCCAGTCGTTGATGGACGGCTTGGAGATCGCCAATGAACTCAAGTCTGCGGCGAACAAGCTGTTAGAGGCGGCAGCCGACGAAGTGCCGTATGGCATCGAGGAGACCGGAGAAGGGGAGGTCACAGGGCGCCGAGAGATCCTACCGGGCATCGCGCCTCATGATCTCGCCTTCGAGCTGGAGGAACCGATCCCGAATGGGGCCCCGGTTTTCACAAAGCCAGGCCGAATTGCACGTTTCAGAATCAAGGAAGAGCGCTGGAATCGAGAGATGTTGACAGCTGGCGACGGTGTCAAAGGGGTTCTGAAGCGCCTCAGCGCCTCCGAGTTCGCCTGCAACATGCAGCTCCTCGGGGAGCTCAGGGAGTGGTGCGACGGATACCGGGCCATCAAGGCCAAGAGACTGGCAGAGAAGGCTTTTCACCTCGCAGAGGACCGCCGGAGAGTCGTTGTCCGGTTCGAGCCTCTGTTCAAGAAGATATATTATATATGTATTTGTATGTTGAGCACTGCTTCTGCTCACAGAATATAGCAGGAGAGCCCCTTAAGCAGCTCAATTTTGTGAACAGTGCATTACTGGCCTCTGTGAGTGTGAGTGTTTGCAGGATGCGCGATCTGTCCTTGAGAGTTTTCGTTTGTTTTCGTCCAAACTCTTTCGGAGATGCATTTGGAGGACCGCGAGCTTGCTTTGCAGCGCCGCCGCAGTGCCAAGCGCAGTGACCAGCCTGAGCTGGTGGAGCGGGGCCAGCTGCGGGCCAAGAAACTGGGTGAGCTGGCTGCCAAGGATGTCGAGCATACGATCGACTCCGCCTTGGAGATCTGTCATTGTGGCTACCAAGAGATTTGGCACGAGGGACCTGTTTCTTTTGAGGTTCCTCGTGTCCCACAGCGCCGCAATTCGCGCCGGCTTTCAATCTCCAGGTCACCACTGGAAGCGATGGCACCGGCGCATGTGTGTTGCTCAGAGACGTCGCAAAGCCCAGCACTGATCTGCACGGCCACGCGGCAATCTTGCGTCGAGGAGTGGGGGATGGAACTCTTGTCCTTGTGTTTCGACATAGACCGGTAACATGATGAAAGGCCCCCGATGTGAACAATACAGCTCTCCCAGCAAAATCCCGAAACGTGGACGCCATCACTCGGCCTATACCGTTGACATGCAAGCGCTGCGAAAGCGATCCGATTCTGCTTCCCAACTACCCTAGGACCGGACAAGTCCACGCATGTGTTCTGCTTGCGCTGCCTATCCGTCGCACCGACATGCGTTGTGCATGCCTTGCGCATCCGTGCTACCGACCTGGCGGGAAATCATGATTTTGGTGGGCAGGAATTTGCGGATCTCGATCATCACTGTAGAAAAATCCACTGAGACGTGTGAAGCAGTGTCGAACTGCCCTGCGCACCTGCGAAGCGCAATCTGGAGTCTTCGTTTCCGACTCGTGTCCTCGTTTCTGCAGAACTCCCGTGAGCCACCGATCTACGCTGAAGCACGAATATCGTCGTTGCTGCCTGCCTTCTAAGTTCTTCCCTTGAAAAGCTAGTTACTTGTTGGCGTCACGGTTGCAGCTGCGCAGTTGAGCCATGCCACAGCGGATAGGCTGCAGCTTCAATTGTTCGCGGGCCTCTGAATTCTCGTCGTGGTGTTGGATTCAACATCTCAGGGTCTACGGGAGCACATAATCTGCGCCTTCTAAGCAGGTAATTGCACGGACGACAGTGTTTATGTCTCAGTAGGAGTTCGACTCTGGATGTTAGATGCGTGTTCAGGATGCGGTACTGTCCGAGGGTCGCCTCTCCCTTCGGCATGCTTCCGCCTGAGTTTGCCACAGGGTGCACGTATCGGGCTTGGTCGGGCTGTGTGTTTGGTAAGACTCGTAGGGGACCTCAGGCCTGCCGATTTTTTGGGTGTTGCTCACATCAGCAGGAGGAACAGATAACTCAAAGCTTGTTTCTTCACTGTTGCTTCAGTCTGAGGGGACAGCATGTGACATTTAGCCCACATGGCCACGAGGCTGGAACATCCACGCCGCATCTTCCGCAGATCATTTCGGATCTTCATTTTTTTGCAAGATTGTTGCTGGTGCTAGCCAAGCAACGAATCTGAGAGGAAAGCGATAGGACGGAATTCGGGGGAGTCCGATGCAGAGGGAGAATTTGTCCAAGTAAGGTCAGGCCCATTGTCGGCACCATAAGCCCAACCTGAGCCCCCAAAAGCCCGGCAGGTGGGTGTAGTGAACGCATGGGAGCCGTCCAAAAGCGACAATTCCAGGATCGAAGATGCTCCAACTACTCTTCCGGCGCTCCAACCATAACGGATAGCGTTTCAACGAGTCCTGATCAAGATGATACGGCTGTGCCTGTGATTGCTTGTTTCTTTGCAAATTGCGACAGCCTTCGGAAGTGTAGCCTTACGGCAGGGCGGAAAAGCTTGAAGCCATTGAAGCCCTCAGCCATGTGAGGCTGGGGCATCGATTATGGCGGCAAGCGCGTGAGCGGATCATAGGAGAAGTCTACAATTCTTTCTCACATTGTCGAGTTTTTGAGAGCAGATTCTGTGCCCTTGGCCATGCGCCTGCATGCATTGCTCTTAAGTTTACGGGTTTCGATGGATGCGGTTTCCTTGAAGGAAAGCTCTTCTTTTCTTTAAGCAGCCGTGCTGCTTACAAGATGCCCACGCCATGCAAAATTCCGAACGGAGTATCAGGCCGAAGCAGGGCTCTTGACCCCATGTGCAGACTCGAAAGTGTGAATTCGACACTCGAAATTGATGGGTCAGTAACCAAAGGTTTGCCAACTTTTAATGCAGTTTTCACCAAGTGAAAGCTCAGTGTGGACGTGATGCGCCAGCAACAAACGCTCGCGCTGTTGGCCCCTTGATGATGCCAGTGCACCTTGTTTTGTGTGCGAGCGAAACTTGTCGGAGCCAAGGTGCATCCAAGGCGAGACAGGTTGTGGCAAGTCAACTCGTGTACCAGTGTACGTGATGGAGGATCTTCACAGTCACCTGTCATGAGATGGCACTGCCATGTGACTGCTAACAACCTCCCGAGCTGGTTGGCTTGGCAGGAGTACTTCGAAAAGCGAAGAGCTGGTAAGATTTCGAAGGAGGACAAGTTCATGGTGCTCTGCACCCAGCCGAGGCCTGTTGGAAACATAGCTTTCGGGAGCAACTGAGTTGAGAACTCGCAGTCCACAGATTTTGAGTTGGAAAGATCTGAATCAAAGCCATTCCGAATCGAAGCCGTAGTTGCAACAGCCGCAGCAAGCATTGGTATGCAAAAAGGCTTCTGCTCAAAATAGATGGAGCATCATTATGTTTGCTGCTGTCCAATCGTTCTCGCAAAGTATAGCAGAAGCGGGCATGGCGGTCGTGCCAGCTGGGTGCTCATTTGGCTCAGCCTCTGGCTGGCCACGGCAGCTGGGGTTTCTCCGAAGCTCATTCAGACCCTTGGGCATTGCAGGAGTTGGCTTGATGAGATGGGGACGTGACTTCGGGACCGGCACCTCCCATCCCTCTGTGCCTCCTCGCCGCCCAGCACCACCTCCATCATCTACACCGTCGCCACTACCCCAATCACTGATACCCACAGCCCCTCCAGCTGGTTTAGGCAAAACCCCTGTCCCATCCTATCTGCGTGCAGCCCTGCACCGTGAAGTCGCATCTCACGCTGCTGCACAAAGACCTCAAGCAATCTTCGAAACACTCTGGCGGTATGTGGACAGGTTCCAGCCGGAACTGATGGATTTGGATGCATGCTTGCACTCTTTGGTTAAGTGCAACACTGAGTCTTGGAGCTGGCAGAAGTTTGCGAGAAAGGCAAAAGGCAAGGTGGTCCTTCACAATGAAGACCTGTTGCGCTTACTTTCGCATTTGGAGCGGGAATTACTCCATGAACATGGGAGATCCTCGGCTACATTATGTGACATGATGACTTCCACCATTCCATGCACCAGAGGGATCGTGAGGTTGCATAGACTGGAGCTGCCAGCTGAGATGGCAGCGACATCACGCGGTATCTTGCAACCTCTGCTTGGGACATGGCCTCAGGCGTCAATGCCGATGTGTGCATCAGAACTGCTGCTTTGCATCACTGCAGAAACCATGGTCCCGTTGGCATCATGTTAAGTAAGATGCACTGAGCCCTCCAATCCCATTTCGGGGACACCTTTCCTGCCGTCCGTCCAATCTGTGGATCTCTCAGTCCATAGGTCCATCCTTTCGAGGTACCAGCCTGCATGAACTCGGGTATCTATGCAGGAAAGTCTGAAGGCAGGAAGGACGGAAAGACAGAAGGGAACGAAGGAAGACAGAAAGGAGGAAGGAAGGAACGAAGGAAGGAAGGAAGCAGGAAGACATGAATGCCATTCTTTGCAGAAACAGGTGACTGAGTTGCTGCAATTTTTCTGCGTCTGTGATTCGTGAATGCCTGGCTGAACATGAACGGTCTATCCGTATCGTTTGGGTGCAGTCCTCCGCTGGAGTTCCAACGTGCCCTGAAGGCAGTCTGGGGATGAAGATGATGAAGCATAATCTGAGGCGCTTGCGAGCCTCTCACGCTGGCAGCCGGCGGTGAGTCGAGAGGCAAGCGCCACAAGTCTAGAGCACCTCAGCAGCTGAATCGGACATCATGACGAGGAGCATGATATGCATCCTCGGAGCATGGACTTCATTCAAACTCTTGCAGAAATCTAGCTTGGGCTCGGTAGGAGACTAATGTGCCTCTGTGGTCCAAAGGGTCTCAGGCTCAGCGGCGCCCAAAGAAGCCTGCAAGCCAGGCTTTGCAACAGATGCGGCCCATCTTCGCAATGATCGAGGACTTCCACCCGACATGAACAAAGCGAATTGCCGAAGCTTTGTACGTTGTGGACTCCGCCCTGTGTGCCCCATTTCGAGCAGCAGTGCAGCCATGGTGGGTCTTGACGCCTGACAGATAAAGTGACATAGTGGCGTTGGATGGTGCGGGGGCGCGAGTGGACAACGATGCAGCACTTCGCAGTACAGAAGATGTGCGCAGAAATGGGTCCTATCGCAGCATATCGCAGCAACGAGTAGAAAGTTGAAAGTAGCTATGCCGTGACGGGCTAGCTATTTGCTTTTAAAGCCAGCCGGCATGACAGATGTCCTAAGACTTCTGCAGGCTTCAGCTCGGTCCATCTCTGTCTATTCTGTTCATGGTGTGACCGGAGGACTTGGCCAAGCCATTACTCCCTAACTTCACGCCAGGAGCTCAGGTAAGGCATGCCAAGTGGGAGTGTGGGGGTCCTTCGACCTTGCCTCGGGCTGAGGCTCAGCAACCTGTCCATGCTAGCTTGGGGATTTGCCCGGTCTGGCCTGGGGGCCGGCGGCCGAGTTAGGCCGACACTTTGTGAACAACCTCAAGATCAAGAGCTCTGCATCTGGATGACACGGCCTCATGCTAGACAAACGTGCAGGATTGAACCCTGTGCACAAAAAACATACGAGTTCCGGATCCCAAATGCGATGTACATGGGCTGCCAAACGTTCTCCGAGACAAAAGAGCTGTTCGACAGCTTCGGCCATGCAGCTCTGGTTCGACAGCATCAGTGCTCTACTTAGCAACGTTGGCTTCTAGTTTCATGGTTTAGCAGGCCAGCTGTACTCAGTCTCAGTGTTCGTAGAATCGCAAAAATGGCTTAGGCTGAGCGCTCGGGACTTGGCCAATTTGACCTGGTCCTTCGCAGCAGCGAAGCTGTCGCACGATCTCCTGAAGCAGGCCGCGTGCTCGGGCTCACCGCAAGCTCGGTGGCTTCATCTTGGGCAGGTCAATAGCTGGTAGCCCCGGCGCTGTCGTGTGGGGAACGTAGCATGTCGCATAATCGTTGCAGATGAATCCCTGCGTAAATTAGGGCTTGGGAACTGTACCTTTGGAAGCCGGCTCTCAATGCAGCAGAGCTGGAAAGAGTTGCGTGTGACTTGTGAAGTAGATGCTGGTGGCTGGTGCACATTGGGGGGGGAAGGGAGGGGGGAGGATGTTTACGGGCTATGCTTGCGAGCGAACGCTCCGTGGCCGTTGCTTGTGTGAGGTTCCAGCGTTGGTCCTTGAGGTGCCGGGCGCTTGTGGCATCTTTGCAGATTGTACTAAGCATCGTTGGCAAGCAGCCTCGGTCTGCGGTGCGAAATCATTGTGGGTCCGGGTGCTCAACTGTATCCAAGAGGTGAGAATTAGAGAACGCTTTGTTAATCTAAGTGAAATTTGACGGATTGGAGCCCGCTGTTCAGCTCTCCTTGATGACTGAGACCGCCATGCCTACAAAGGTTCATGCTTTGTTCTTTTTAAAGGAAGGGTTGCGGGATCAATCGATTTGACACTGAAGCAGGACTCGCGTGGTGTGGCAGCGTTCGAAGAGCAGGTTCACTCGAAGTCACAGATCTGAGCAGTCTGCATGTAGTAATGCACTAGCGGTTGATCGACGTCCCTCGAGGGCCGCATGTAACCTTTGAAGACGCTTGCAGGACTTGTCCGCACTGGCCTGGGGCCGGGGCCCGAAGAAGCTGGTGTGCACACCTAAACTTACCTAAACTTACCTAAACTTACCTAAACTGCGATTTTATCGCCATCCGCTCACCGTTCAGAAGTCCGTCTTGACAGCAATTACATTGCATTTTCACATTTTCATACATACTGCATGGGTATTATCCTTGTCTCAGCCATAGCACTAGCCGAATACCAAAAACAAAACCACAGAGCATCACTTGAAAGTCCCCGTGCGATGTAAGCAAGCGGAGCATGATGGAGCTCGGATCTGTGCTTTAAGAGCCGTTTACTGGAGCCTGTGTAGTGTACAATGGCTGCCTCCGCAAAGCAATCAGTTGCCGTGTCGATGGTATCTGCGTCGTGCACAATCGGGTCAGTCAAGGATTAGACTACGGAAGACTTGTCGCGTGTTTGTCTATCTGTCTGTCTGCCTGTCCGTCCATCCGTCTGTCTGTATGTCTGTATGCATGCATGCATCAACGGACGGATGGATGGACTTGTGGATGTATGGACGTGTCGATGTATGGAGGTATGTACGCATGCATGAGCATATGCATGTATGCCTGTAGATAGGCAGGTAGGTGGCTGGTTGGGTGGGCGGGCCCCATCCAAGCTGAAGATCAGGTTTGGCAACCCTGCGCCTTCGTGAAGAAGAACTCCTGCAAGCTTTGGGCGAGGAGGTGCCGGAATGCCTTCCGCCGCCGCACTACTCTCTAGCCGTGGCCGTCACGGATACGATTGGAAGAGGTGTTGGAAGCTTGGCGACCGTACGATATGTGTGGGGCCTGCCTCCGGTGGAATTCGGTGGGGCGTGTGTTCTATCGGGAGAGGCTTCGAGTCTTGCAGCCTATCCACCGCCTCGGCCGTAGACTTGCTGCAGGTGAGGGTTAAGCTTGCGAGCTTCACCGTCCCAGGCCTGATCTGCTACTGCCTTGGCTGTTCAGCAATCTGAGTGCATGTTCTGTCGCACGCACCATGTTTAAGAAATTGCTGGTGCAATGTAGCAGTTGATGGACCTGCTTCCCCAGCTTGACTAGGTGTACCGGTGGTGGTGTATCCATACTGCTAAAGCATCACGCCTCGTTCGTCGTGCAATGCAGCAAGTGCGACTCGCTAGGAAACGAAGTTATCATGCCACACGAATCTCCACAATTTCGACCGCGGAGCTACACTCTGCATGTCCGGCTTCAGTCTGCCTCGGCTTGCAGACCGCTGCGAAGCGCATAGCAAAGCAATGCAAAGCAATCACTACCAAGGGAGGTTGATTTGCAGTTGCACACCGGAGGAACGCCAACGAAGATCCAGCAGACATAACCCTAGACCCAGAGCAGACTTGGGCCACAGACAGGCCTGAGCAGACCAGAAACTGTCGACGTGTTGCGCAAGTGGGACAGTGGCCGTGTCGTGGTGTTCTGCTCCCTTCAAGAATCTTCGAAACCTTTTCAATGACCAAAATGATCAGCGTTCGACATCATTTGTCAGCTTGGTTTGAGCTTTTGGGCCGAAGTACCCTGTGGCAGAAGGCCTTTCCCAATCTAGAAACATCGCAGGGCATCTTCACGAGACCAGCAAGACATGCCCACACGATGCTTGTGGCGAAAAGGTGTGAGCTCTCTACTGTCCCAAAATAACCTCGGCCGAAACAACAAGAACAATAGGGTCAGACTCAGGTACAACGTGGGCCTTCGCCAGTCTACGTGTCAAGGCACCTTTCTTGCGCGAGGCCCCGCAGGGAAAGCACAAATCAGAGAGCTTTTCCAACGGTGACAGATCTGATCGTCTGCGCTTGGGAGATGCTCATGGTGGCCCGTCGTAGATCATGTCAGTCGTACCATGCCTTCTAGTTGCCTGCCATGAGGCTCTGGACCAGTTGCGTCATTCGGGCAGGTACGCTGCATGGAGACAGAACTTGAAATCCTTAGCCTCGAAGCCAGAAGTCATGGCCATGTCTTTCCTTCAGTGCTTGGTGCATCTTTTGGGAGGTTGGAGCCTCGGGGGTGCTCGATGATGCTTTGGTCGCTGGCTTCGCTCCGGCATGATGATCGTAGTGAGTGCGGCTCTCGGTGTCGATAGGTTTTCCGGATGGCATTTTGTTGACCTGCATTTCGTAGCTGAGGCTCTTCTACTACCTCATGGCCGACACGGTCATTTTGTTGGTGCCTGAGAGAGCGAGACGCAGAGAGAATTGTAACCGGGCTCGTGCGAATGTACGTTTGCACAACGGTGCAAGGGTGAAGAAAAAGGCGGAATGCAGCCAGTAGAACGTCAGGAGCCCTCGAGGGTCGCAACAGTCCATCCAGTCAGAGCTTTGCTGTGTTGTGGATATTCTGTGGCTGCCGGCATGGCGGCTTGAGACAGAGGGATCAGGAAGTTTTCTTCACCAACTGGAACACTTTTGTCCACACCATTGAAACCACGTTCTTGGTGAGCGCATGGCCCAGGCCTCGTGCACGGGACTTTGAGGCGCAGGACCAAAAGGGAAGACAATGACAACATATTGACAACTGTGTCTATGCCGAGTCTATGCAGTTTTTTGTCGCACGCATGAAGAAAAGCATTTGCATTGAACAGAGGATGTTTCCAACTGCCTCTGGGCTTTCGCCACCGCCCGTCAGATCCTGAGATTCAGCTGGCCGAGCAAGCACGGCAAATGCTTTGCAGAGCTGACAAATATCGTAGCTACAGCAGAATCGAGTTGGGAAGCTCAGAGACAAAGCGGTCCAGAAGCGACGTGCATTCACCAACTAAGCGGCATGAACTCAAAGTTGGCTAAAGCAGAAGCAGTGTCTAGCGAGTATGCGGGTGGGTTCCGACACGAATCTGCACGGTGCTCTGAGGTGTCCAGCACGAGGCTGTGTTCCAGGCTTTGGTTTCCCAGGCCACGCAGAGCGTCCACAGATTCACATCGCAGGCCAGATGAGGGGATGTGAAGCGAGGGCAGGGGGGGCTGAAGGGAGTTAGCCAAGGTGCGGGACCCCCTCGTGGATCTAGAATCAGAACCTGGTCCGAAGCTGCCCTGGAGGCCTTGGCCAACACGACCTGGGCTTGTGCCAAGATGCATGCTCGGGAGGCAGGATCTGCACAGGTGCAGGCACCCTATAAAGTCCTCCTATCAAAGTCAGCTTCAAAAGGTGAAGGTTCAGGCTTGCCGTAGAGCGCAGCGAGCGACTGTCTGGTGTTTTGGGCGAGGCCAAAGCCATGGTTGAGGTTGCAGCAGATGAGGCTCTGGAGTTGGCTTTCAGAGTGCGGTTGCTGCCATCCAGAGCAGGCTCTTCGTCGTCCCCAACGAACGTGGTCGTCACAGGCCCGGATAACTGCAGAGAGTGGGAATGCGAGAGAGCAAATCTCACAGATCCCGATCGCGCAAACGAAGCTGCCGGGAGGAGGTAGATAGATTGCATCATCCCGGCAGGACGCGGCTAGGCATGTAGTTAAGGTAGACGGTGCAGAACAGCTCAACACCGTTTCCCGTTTCTTATCGGGGGACTAGAGCTGGATGCAAAACTTTCATTCCATCTGCAAATCTGCGACTGTGGTGGCCGCAGAGGGGGCGCAGAAGCAACGATGTCAGCCAGGAATGAGCTGAAAGCAGATGATCGAGACATGTACTGCACATTGGCACACACCACACTTTGAGAGGTTTTCCTGACGTCCAGAACAGGGTCTTCTGCTCTTGCAAAAGTGGTCCTTGAAGAAACAACATGCAGTGGCCCATAGTGACTGAGAAACACGCTAATGCGTCAAGGCACCGAAGGCTGCGCACGGAAAGGGTTCTATGTCGCAGAGATGGAAACAGGAAAAACACAGCTCATCTTGCGGTGTCCGGAACAGAGCTTGTGTTTTCTGCCCATATGGCAGATGCCTTAGATTCATGATGTCCTCGACAGGGACTGGTGACATTGTGCTGGGCGTCAGCGGAGGTGCAGGTAGCACCTGCTCGGCTGTCAGGGGCCGAGCTTGAAATGACGGAACAGGTTTGAGTTCGTCTTGAGAGTCGTCTTGAGTGTAGTACCGCAGCGACATGACCACATGTCGGGCTAAGTTGAAGACCTCGTAATCCAAGCGTTGTTTCTGAAGGCTGACCTCCGTCACAGAGGAGTTGCACAGCAGGCCCAACGCATTCAACGCGGGGAGCCTGGCAAATTCCTGACACCATGGTTGGCAGGAATCCAGTCTGTCCAGCCTCGCATAGCCGCGGATGCCTGGAGGATGTTGACCTGGCAACGCTGGTCTTCACTCTGAAGGACGCATCCTGGCGACCCTAGTTGGTGTAGGAAAAACCTGGGCACTCGGTTCGCTCTCAAGTGCTTGTAGAGAACATGGAGATAAAGCCGGATCCTTCTGGCAAGTGCATCACCATTGTGTGTTGGTGCACATCCTGCACCGAAAAGCTGGCCGCGAGGAGGAACTCTGGCAAGAACATCAGCACGTCAGGTTCGAACAATGCTGGCACGATTCCAAGAGGGAATGAGGGGATTTTCTTGCGGGTCGCTCCGCAGGCAGGCCTGCCTCCTCCGAATTCGAGCAGAGACCGCCAGGCTCAGTTGATGGCGAGAATTCCACAAGTGACGTGTTGTTTGTTCTGCCGGTTCTTGTGCGGCGATTGGATTGCACATCCGGATGCAGCCCTCCAGGAGGCATTTGCCGGCCACTTCTGGGATGTTGAGGTTGAGAGCCCAGTGCATCTTTGTGCGACGAGCTGTAGGTGATGGGGCTGGTGAGTGCAGTCCTGTCAGGGCGCCCCCGCACGGAAGGTCGCTGCCGAGCATGCCCGATCCAATGAAAAAGTCTTTGACCGGCGTGTGGTGTCAGCAACATTGAACCTCAGAGGGCAGTAGACTGAGTGGATTGCCGCAATCTCGCAGAGAAATGCTATCTCCATGCCTAAGCACCGGCACGAACAGAACCACTGGTGTGTTTTCGAGCTGATGTCGGAAGGCGCATTGCTTGCATCTCCCTGGCGAATCGGGTGGCCTCCTGCATCAAGGACTTGGTCGCAGTCCCCACACTGCCAATCCGGCTGTTCTTGGAGGGTGTGCATGATATGCGCATTTCGCATGGCGAGACTTTCCGGTTCATGCCCCGTCAACTACTATTGGTGTTGCCGCTGCCCCTGCTGCTGCAACGCAGTTCTTCTGAGTTTCAGGCATTTCTTTGGCCAGGCATGTCAAGTGGCATGTCAAGGGGCTTGTCATGGCCGATGAAAGGAGAAGCAATGCCATTGACTACTTTAAGCCTTTAAGCGCAGCTGCCACACAGCTTTAGATCGCTTCAGCATGCTTTCACCCACTTCTGGACAGTACAGGTATCTTTCTCCCACTGCCGCATGGCTGGGCATCTGCATCCAGTAAATGCTGCAGACCAGCAGAACCGGCACAAGATCTGCAACGGAAAATGTCTGCCATGGCTGCTGCCTGTGCTGAGAAGCTGTCGACGCGGAGTGAAAGGAGGTGCCTCTCAGTTGCGATGCCCGGGGCTGTGGTGCTGCGTGAAGCACTGCAGGTCACGGCGGAGATGCTGGATGCTCTTGATGGTCGCGGGCCCTGTTCGGAATCTGCTTCATCACGGAACATCGTCACTCGCAATGCTCGGGTTCACGCTCTTGAGTTCAGGTCGGTGCCATGATCGTCCAGGCCTGGATGTGGCCTGTGCGGTTGATGCAGCCCTGCAACCCTTTGCTGCACAGGTTACTGAAGTCAAACTATTTGTTCGCTCCTGATTGTGCTGAGAGAGCCCGGACCTGTCCTGTCCCGACATATCTCCTTAGATGTTGTCAGGTTGTGCCTCGCGAGAGTTTGGAATTGGATCGACGGAAAGCTTTGTCGGGGCCGGACAAAAATCACAAAGCATGGTGGACCTGGTTTAAACCAAGGACCACAGCGGTGGTCAGCAGCATGGTATCAGCGGAACCTGCTTGGGCAGGAGACGTTTTCGCCCGAGCCAAAGCACCACACCCAAAGTGGCAATGCTTTCAGCCGTCCGTGTCGGCCACAGGCAAAGAGACCGAAGCAAGCAAACGACGCCGCAGTCAAGCCGATCGGAAAGGCCAGGGTGTGTTGAGTTTCGCTTGATCGCATGCAGGAGTGACCGCCCACTGTCGGCAGGTTGACCAGTTCGGGCGTGAGCTTGTGGAAATTGCCGCGGTCCGAGTTGCGAAACCAGCTTGCAACATGCGACCAAAAACCTAGCTATTCTTCTCTGGATGACTTTATTTGCATCTAACTCGTGTGCCAGCAGCTGACATCCCAAGAGCACCTGCTCGGCTGCAGGCCCGTCCGAAAGGATTGGCAAAGAAGCTATATTCCTTTGCACGGAGCTGAGAGGTCTCGCCATGCAGATGTCATGGACCTCACAACCTTCTGTTCACAGCTGATTGGTAAAGCTCAAGTCAGCTACTGCGGGCCTCGTACACCCTTGCGTTTGTCTTGCTCTTGCCGAGCCGACGCTCTCCTCTGCAGCGGTTGCCTGCCTCCTCCCCGATGCTCTGGAAAGCTCGTTGACTTCAGCATCTCCCAAGAATAGCCGAAGCCACGATCGCGTTTGCGGTACCGGCGAGAGGAAGGAAGTGTTGCTGGTCACGGAGGACCAGCCCAAAAGCACATACAAAGCCGTTGAGCTGTTGTTGCTGCTCATGCAGCCTCTCGATCGCAGGTGGCCTGGCGCAGCTCAGCCGATTTTCGACAATCCATCGACCGTGGCATACTGCCGCTACACCATCTGTTTGGACACACCCAACTGCCGGTCAATGCCATTCGGTGCTTCGTGTCCATTCGACAGCAGAGACATCCGCTGGCCCTCAGAACAAGCTCGCAGAGCCAGGGCCTAGACACGAACAGGACACCCTTCGCCATGGGATGCCATGGGGCACTGGTCTTCCCAAGGTCAACCTAGAAGCGAACGTTTCTAACAGTCGAATTGCAGGCCTGTTCGACCACTTGGGTCACCCCTACCAGGACTGGCCTTAGTTTGTTCCGGCGATCGACGCAGTCGTCCAGACGACCTGCAATTAGGCGCAATTGAAAGCTGCTTGGCATTTGGAGCCGCAAACCCACCAGGCTGCCATGCCAGCAATGGTTTTGCTGGGCTGCTGTAGCAGTCTTTTCAGTCTGTTCGCTATGGGGTTCGCGGACCGGGCATTTTCTGCAGGGCGCTGCGAGATAGGCTCTGTGCGCTTTCCTCCTGCTGGATAAGCGAAGCTAAGACACCTTCTAGGATTGCGTGCCACCAGTCCGCGAAATCATAAAGACGGCCAGTCACAAACGGATAGAGGTCTGCCTTGGCTGCTTCTGTCGTTTTTACCACTCGCCACGAGGCCACCGGTTATGAAGGCGGCATCTGCTCTTCTCGAGCACTCCCTCACCCTGCCTGCTTGACGCCTTGTGCGAACTGTTGGGTGCTCCGGGCCAAAGTCGAGCAGTACGAAATGTGGTTTGCTTTTCCAGAGCTGTCTTGAAACCCGCGTCGTAACAAGTTGTGCAACTGGGCAGAGCTTCTGGTCAGTTTCACATACAACCTGGCAAAGTACATAGAGCATACGCAGCAGCTCCGACCAAAAAGGTAAGCAATTTCTTATGTAGTTGCTTAGCTCAGTTAGTTTGCACTAACATGTGATGTCCGTCCAGCCAGCAATGCCCAACACCTCATCCCCATGTGTGCGTGCACGTTTAGCCAACAATCCCAATGAAAGCCCTCCGTGACAAACCTGCCTCCGTCCCGCTGCGGGCAACTTGAGGACCTCCCCGTGATCCCGGGTGGACACCTCAGGCTTCAGGAATTCCGGATTGGTGTTTGGCTCATGCCATGGCAACCCACGGCTCCCAGGTAAGGTCTGGGGAGACTACAGCAAGCAAGACCTAAAAGAGCTGGGTGTCATCTTCAAAGGCAGGAACATGTTGGCATCCAATGTTGGCGGATGAGTTCGACTTCAGGAAAGTTTGGCAACGAGACTGAAAACGCAGTGCTGCAGTCGTCCGTCGGGCTCTTGGTCCCCGAGGGTCGACCTGCAACATGATGCAACAGGATGAACGGTTCGGGCTGCTGGAGGTCTTGGCCGGCCCCGCAGATGCAGACTACATCGAGCCTCTCCGACGCAATTCCGAAGCTGCATGCCGGCGTGCCCTATGTTAGCGGCTGGCGCAGTCCCACATCTTGCCACCAGCTCTGCCTACTGAGCTCCAGGAACATTCGATCCAAGAGCCGTGGCGGTCATGGAGCAACGTTTTGTTTCATGGTTCATGGGCCAAACTGCTGAGGTTAGTAATTGAAGTCACAGATGCTTCAGATCTTGATTGCTCTTCCATGATTTCCCATTGTTTGAGCGGGGTCTTAACATGCAAGGAATTACACTGAGGGCTACGGCATTCTTCGCCTGAGCCTCGGGGTAAGCTGCACAAAGCATGTCTGGGAACGGAGGTGGTGCGAGGAAGAGGCCGCCTGGGCGCTCGGGTGCAGTCTCAGGTGACCAGGAGACGCCAGAACAGATCGACCTCGAGTGGACGGATTTTGAGCGCAGACGGCGGACCTACTACAAGGCATGGAACAAAACATATCCTGCACAGTAGTCAGCTCAGCTGTGAGAAAATACCCCGTGCACCAGTGTCAGGTCCACTACTTCATGCGAGTCTTACGCGACCTTAGCACCAAAGAAGATAAGAAGGACCTCACCTCCACAGCATGACAGACAACCGCGCGTGATCATCGGCGAGAAGTTGCAGTACAGCGCGGGCCTGCATGAACTATAATGTTGATCACAGTCGCAGTCTTCATGACAGGAGTGTGTCGTGGGAATTCCATATCTGTAGACCTCAGATTGAGATTTCCAAGATTTGAGGCAGGTATAATCGTCGAGGGCTTTTTGTGCAGACAAGCACCCCTAAACGGTCGTTAGCCAAGTACTCTGGATCTTCGCTCACCGCCATAACTTGTGGAGGATGTGCTCATCCTGTTCAGCACGCTGGAACCACAGTCACGGGCTTGGTCGTGAGACGCGGAACTTGCTGTCACAGCAAAGGCTATATCGTTGGATGGATTGCTCGTTTGGGCATTCCTTGTCATTACGATAGACCCGTTGTTAGTTGCCTCGGCCGCAGGGTGGAGAATCTGCAAAATCTGTGGACGACCGTGCGAGACTCTCTGAAGTTGGGTCGGTGATCATGGCTGTCTCACTCACGCAGCATGTAGCGTTTAGCTTCAACATGTGAACGCATGATTGCAGCCTGCCAGCTGTAGATCACATGCTAACTTGCGCAATCTTCGCGGTGATGCTAAAGGAGCAGCCGCCTTTGTTGCATATTCACTTAGATCTCCTCTTCTTTCAAGAGTGTCTCTGGAATGACCATCCCGCATTGCGCTATGCTTTCATATCTTTCAGGGGGCTTGAAAGCTGCAGAAGCTCCGAATTTGCTTCAAGAATCTAAGCACCAGTATCGGAAAATTGAGCATGAATGAATGATAATGAATGTACAGTCATGTGTCCAGAGCCAGGCACATAGCAAATAACCAGATGTGTGCCATTCCAGTCTATATCATTTCACGTAACAAAAACCCAAAGCTCGTGCGGATAAAAATCTGGCATCGGGTGTGCTTCTGAAGCCAACATCCATGGAGGAGATGTCAGACACGTCACCTCTAAGGATGCTCCAAGATGGCAGCAGTTTCCACATGTGAAAGCCTCGCTACAAGACTGGAAAGTAACTGCGGCTCTTCTGCGCAGGAGACAGTGGGGGATTCTATTGGCTACAAGATCAGCGGTGACAGCAAAGTGCGTCGAAGCCTAGGTTTGCCGAGTTTCCAGGTGCTGGCGCTCTGGGCTGTGTAGAAAGGTGGGCTGTGAGAAGTTCCAACATGGACATCATGAAGTCTTGAGCGTTTGGCCATGGCAGAACTTAATGTAGGCACAGTGGCCTGCCGCTGCCGCTCACCATGTTGTAACGCTGACAGGGCTTTGTCCCTGACACTCTTCTTGCGTGCTTGGATTCAGGCCCGGGGAGGACCAAGTTGGTTTACGTGACGACGGGATACCTTCTCCAGGCGGCAGCACATGTTGCATTTCAATTCACGCATGAGTTCTGTGAGTTGCATTTGCTTGAATATGGCACTGCCGGACGAGGTGTTTCCTTCTCATACAGAGGGTGGGAGGAAGTGTTTGGGGGCTGTCAGCATGTGCAACAGGGCTGCGGTCAAGAAGTAATTTGTTCAGTTCACAGCGACGAGCCCTCGAAAGTACAACATTAGGGAACAGGTCGTGCTTGCCTGCCCAACAAAGGCGTCCCTGATTGATGCGAAGAGTTTTTGTGCGATAGCCGTGACAGCCTGTTTGGTTGCTTCTGTTGTGCATCCGCATGACAAGCAGCACCTGAACACCTTAAAAGGGGGCAGGTCTAGCTAGACTAGCGTAGTATGATGTCACAAGAGCGACACTTGTCGATCGGTTTTTGGCCAGCAGGATCGGCCTCAGCATGTTATTGCTTTCTGCCTGTCTATTTGCCATCCGAAGACACAGACCCTGACCTTCAACTTCCTTAGCCCTTAGCCCATAGAGGCTTGAGCTTCAGAGCAGTGGTGCTGCTAATTCTCGACATCTCTGTCATGTTTCATTGGTCGACGTTGGGTGCTGGCCTTAATCTTAGAAGGTCCGATCCATGGAGACAAAGGCAGATGTCAGTTTGAATAACAGGTAACAGAAAGGTAAATAAAAGATAAACTCAAGTTGAAGTTGAAACATACAGGTAGAGAAAAGGTGAACAGAAGGTGGAAAAAAGTGAAGACCAGGCACAGGCCGGCTGGCAGGCTCGTGTCCCTATCATTTTCCTTTACAACAGGCGAAAAAAAGTGAAAAGAAGGTGAAAAGAAGGTGAAAAAAGGTGTAAAAAAGGTAAAAAAGATAAACACAAATATAAAGCAGGGTACAAAAAAGGTAAATGCCACGCGCAGGCCAAGTGATCGGGCTTGCCCACACACCTGTCCTTTGCGTGGCCTTTGCATTGTTACACCTCTTTTTACACCTCTTTCACCTTTTTTTCCCACCTTTGCTTCGCCTTGTGTAAAGGCAAGTGATAGGGACGCGAGCCCGCCAGCCTGCCCACCTGCCCCGGCTGGTGGGCGGGCGTGCAGGAAAATAGTCACGTGGCCTGTGCATGGTCTTCACCTTTTTTCACTTTTTGTTGTAACCTTTTCTTTACCTTTTTGTTTCATCTGGTTCCAGCTTCATTTCACCTTGTATTTAATTGTATTTGCCTTTATTTTGCATTTGTTTCAGACGGGCTGTTTGGGCCGCCTCCATCGGAACGGTCCTTCTAACCTCAACCTCCCTTAACGCATTGGTGCTTTTATGTGCTTTTCCTCAGTGAGTTCAGAAACTAGACTGATCACATCGTGAGTCTATGGCCTTCGCACATCTCTTCGTGAAGAGCCCACAGTTTCGCAGAGTGTTGCATTTTCTCCATCTTCCGTAAGACCGCTTGACATGTGATCGCCAATGCAGCATCTCCAGCATTTGGGGTGCCTGAAGTCCTGACATCTTGAATTTCCTTCTCTCGATCGTTCTGTCACAGTTACTGGCAAGCATCTGTTCCGTTGGTACCAATGACTTTCTAGGCACAAGCCAGGTTTGAATCCCAAGACTTGAGTCATCATTTCATGATCGACTTGCACAGGTCTTGGTCAACAATCCAGAGCAGATCAGCTCGTATAGCCACTTGATCTTGGATGAGGCGGGTGGCAGGGGAACGTTGACAGCCTTCGCAGCCACAGCCCATCCGCCCCGCCCGAACCGAGAGCATTGCATAGATTCACAGATAATGTGTGTGTTTTCGGCGTCGGCAGGTCCATGAGAGGGACGTAGACTCGGACCTCCTCTCCTTGGTGGCCCTGGGCTTGTCCTCTCGGTTCGCTGCAATGGGCGACCCAGACTCTCCAGCCCGGCCGAAATGGCCTGATCATGCCGGAAAGCAGAAAGGTCAAGCTGCAGATGTCGGGCTACGACTTCAAGCTCGTCATCATGTCTGCGACATTGCAGGCCTGTCCGAAATTCACTGAACGTCGCCGACATTCAATGCCTCGGTGCATGCCGGGCAGGGGGACCTCTTCACCAGATATTTTTCTGAGAAGAAGATCAAGACGATCTTCGTTGGCGTGAAGAGGCCCTGAAGACTTCAGAGATGATCCGCTGTTGGGCTGTCAGAGCATATGGCCGTGAACTTGAATACTGCGAATGCCGTGATATCTCGTTCCAAGTACAGTAGTCAGGAAGTTTTCGAAGGGAGCGTTGGCCACATGAATCCGACATCCAACACCTCAGGATCCAGGCACATAGTAGCATGTCTGCACTCCGGCATCACACCACCAGCACAGTCCTCTATGTGACCCTGTCAGGATAAGAACTTAATGGGACCAGGCTCCTTACGGCCCGGATGGGCTGAATGTGGCTTTAAGATGCGCGGCCGGCCATTAGGGCCCTACAGCGTCGGAGGCGTTGTCTGCGCCGTGGCTCTCCTGGTCGTCTTTGTGAAAAGCGGGCATCGGGTCAAAGCCACGCTCGCCTCGTTCGGGGCGTTGCTAGTCTTCTGGCGGCTGCGAGCGCGCTTGCACCGGGCCCCGAAAGCCTGCAAGCTGCGGAAGAGCGTGCACTTCAACATGAGAGTAGGCTGCATGTCCGTTCCCAACTTATTGGACCTGCCAGAGAATCGCAAGGCTGCTTTGTGGTGGCAGCCGGATGATTTTGCAGAGTTCTTGAAGGTTCGGCTGGAGATTGCCAAGGCATACAAGACCGCCGCGCAGAGTCTCGGTGTCGAGATGCCAAGTGTTTGCAGTGTGGGGCCTCATGCCCGAAGGGCTTACGTGGCCATGGTCGAAGCATATCCTAGCCTGAAAGACGAGTCTAGGCGTGGTTTGGGCCTTGGCCGAAAGCGCCAGCGGGCCAAGAACCGGGACGCATACATCGCAGCTGTGGTCAAGGAGCAGCAGAGGCAGCATGACCTTTCACACTTTGACGAGGAGGCCATAGCCGCGGTGGCCATGCGGGTTTCGCAGCAGGATCGAGACTATGCCCACTTCCTCGCAAAGATGTATTTCGAGCAGGACAGAGCAGATGAAGCCGGGACTACGATCGATGCTGACATCACGGCAGCCCTCTTCAACTTGAACAATCCTGCCAGCATTGCAGACGACCGTGGTTGCTCCAAAGAGACAATAGATGATGAGGAAAACTCGCCCAGCCGTCAACACACACAGCAGCAGCCTGGAGAGGATCGCTACACCGAGGAGGAGGTGAAGTGGGAGGGCACCCCGCAGGGCACGCATTCTGTGGCATTGACTAAAGGCTGGGGCCTTTCCAAAGACAAGCTGCAGGCGGCTGGCCTCAGCGCCACCGGCCACTCCTTGCTGAAGCGGTCAAGGGACGCTCCTTGTCCCCAAGAAGACAGCGAACTCAGCAGCGCTGAAAGCGATGGTGTCGGCAGCGAATATGATTGAGCCTTTTGAACTTCGAGCAGTCCAACCAGTCTAATGAGTCTAATTTACAACCAGTCTCACAACAACCCCTCCAATTTTCTCACGAACAGTTCTCGCACAGAGGAATAAAGAATAAAGATCGTGTTTTGCTTCGACTGTCCCGTCAAGCCGGCTGCCCTTATTGGAGTGACAGAACGGTCTGACAATCGCTTGGCCATGAGGTATCCGGTTGAAGTTGTCCACATCGAGCAGCTCTTGGACAGATTCGGAGGAAGGTTGGAACTTTGATTGAACCGAAGGCAGAAGAGCCGTGATTTCGTTTGTCATGCAGGTCGGGCGACTTCATGATGAAGTCTGAAGGAACGCGAGGCTACCAGGCTGGACAGTTTGACATTGTGAATCATCAGGTTCGAGCCTGGAGACGCTCTTGCAGCCGTTGCTCAAGCGAGTGCGTAGCACGTGGGTGTGGAAACCTGCGCACGGCATAGCGGGTCAGGCTCTCAATGTCTCGCAACCAGTAGTAGTTGGCAAGCTGAAGGTCTTGGCGCCCATAAAAAAAAATCTTTTACGTCGCCGTCGTGGTGTCGTCGTGGTCGTCGTCGTCGTGGTCGCTGTCGCGGTCGCGGAAGCATCTCGGCTCGCAGAAAGTCGGCGATGAAGAGCTGACGGTGAGAACTGGCCCCTCCGTGGTTTGGTTTCCGGTGTTTCTCGTGGGCGGTTCTCTTCTTTGGCTTCGTTCGTTCGGGACTCAGGAATGTGCCCATGTACGGGTTTGCTCTTTACATGGCACAAACAAAAACCACGAAGAGCTAAATATTCGACAGCTGGCCTTGGAATACCTGTGCAGCGGTGTGCGTGATTTTCCTATGTCATCTAAACAAGCACTGCAAAACTTGTATGGAAGCGTGGCTGGAAACATCGGCATATGAAACCTGGCATGTCGCCGTCATGTCTGGCATTAGCCAGGGTAGCTTACGGTACAAAAGGTATTGCGATGTTTCTACGTTACTATTCGTTGCTTGCAAGGTCCTGATTGTTGCTTGTTGATGGCTGTTAGATACTGTTTGTTGTTGTTCGTGGGTTGTTTGCTGTAGTGGACGTGCGAACGAGTTTGCGAACGTATGCGTGCGTGTGTTTGTTTGTTTATTTTTTGTGTGTGTGTGTGTGAAGGTGTGAGTATGTGGACAGCCCCATTCCGAGAGGTTTTGTGACTGTGGAAGTTATGCAAATTGAGAAGAAGGCAATCGCATACCGGAACAATGTCGCTTGGTGTGAAATTCACTGCCTACCGACTTTTGAATGCAATGAAAGGTGAGGAGATGGTGAGGTTATGGCAGTGTCTGCCGCCGTGCTAGTAAAGTTGAAAGACACGAGTGAGCATAATTGCAAACTGGCGATTGTTTCTCAAGAGCGTGTTTCTTGATTGATTTGTTCTTGGCGAGCACTTTTCGCGGAGTCGAAGGAACCGCTAGCCTTGGCGCTTTTGTTGTTGTCGCGGTCGTTGTCGTCTTGTGGCTCTCCAATTCCGAGTCGTGCAGCTGTGCAAATGCATTTTACCTCCCTGCCCCTTGAACTCGACAGCTTCAGGCACCGAGTGGAGATCATGCTTCGGATTGCCTGGAACGAGGTGGCGGGCTCTATGCAGTTTCTATGTCCGCGCAGCCCCTTTGAAGCTCTGAATTCGGCAAATCAAAGCAGTGGGCGTTTTTCACCGCTCAGGTGCAGCCGCCTGAATATTTGGGTGGCTGGATTGCACCATGTCACCGCAGCACATCGGTGCTTTCTGCGAGTTTGACCAGAGGTCTTGATGGATCTGGTGCGCTTAAGAAGGACGGAAACCGGCAGGTGCTTGATTGGCGAAGGTTGTTCAGGTCGGATGGGCTTTGAGCGTGCGCGAGCCTATTTGCCTGGAGTATGGTGTGTTCCAATTCGCACAGGCTCATAATTGTTGACTTCTCAGCCACATGACCCTTGCTAGCACCATGTTTTCGTCAGAGTATGAGTTTGGATGTTTGAGTTGGGTCTTGCAACGGTTTGGAAACCTTGAATCTGGTTTGTTTGTCCGGCAGTCGCGATGCTCACCCCAGCATCAAAGGGATTTTCGCTGGAGTTGCTGGAGCCGCATGTGTTCTCAGTCTGCATCACGAGTGATTGCTGTATGTCGAACGAGGAGCTGCGCCGCCCCAAGAGCTCGCGTGGACCATGGGCAAATTTCCGCCCCGGTCCCCAGCGTTTGAACATAAGCAAGACCAGCCACATCATTCGTGCTAAAGCCAAGCCTTAAGTTACTGTGTCTGGCATGTCCATGCTGGGCAGTTGCTACATTGCAAAGGTTTAATTGTGCCGCATGTCTTGAGTTTGCTGTGGGATGCGCTTTTGCCAGGTTCGACCACCACCTCCAACACGGTGGGTGGAGGCGGTCGCGTGGGCTCTCCGACGAGAATGCCGGGACCCAAATAGTTCAGGCGGGAGCTGGGGCGCTGGGCAGATGCCTATGCTCTGCCATGCGACAGCATTTGACCGTTGACTGTCCTGGATGAGTCCGTCTCTTGTCCTGGCAGTGAAGTTGTTTCAGAAATCCGAACCGGCGACCAAAGCCTTGGAATTTTCTCCGAGGTCCAGGCGCCAGGCTCCCTTGAAGGAAGAGCCGAAGGCAGGAAGCCGTCTTTCAACGCGCTCCACATGACTAAATGAGTGTCTGTAATCATCCCTAGCCAGGCCCTGGACGGCTTTAAGTGGTAGCGTTCCGCACATCTCGGCTGCAAGCAGTCCTTCAAAGCTCCTGGACTCACAGGCTACAAGTCGTCAGAAGGCACCGGCAGCTTCTTTGATTCCTCGCGATGTTGGCAACAAGCTCAGCGGGCCATCCGAGACAGAATCGGAAAGACGCCAAGTCCAAATTCGTAAATATTCTCTTCCATCCCAGCCTAGGTTCTTTGTGACTTTTGTGTTGAGTTACACTTGAGGCCGAGTCGCTGCATTGCAGGCCGAGCCGGATGCGGCGTCTTCTGGATTCTGAACTCGTACCTTGAAGGGCTGAAGCTCCATTTTGCTGCCGCCAGGCCCGCACCAAAGAACTCTGTGCGCAGCGCGCTGAAGCGGCTGAGCGCGAGCGACTGCTGAGAACGGACCTGCTGAAGGCCTTTCTGTTGTCTTGATGGGCCAAGTGTGGTCATAGGTGTCGCTGTGCCGAACATCGCTGGTGAACGTTCGGGCGTTCGATTGAGCAATTTCATGTCAACCTGGCACTCTGAACGAGATGTCGCCTGGAAATGTAAGTCTATGTAGCCCTTCGGGTGCGTTGCATTCGCTCGCACACAGCAAGTCAGCAAGTCGCATCGCCAGAAGCGCAGCCGAGTCCAAGGCAGAAGAGGAGATCGCCAACTTAACGAAGGAGCTGGAGGACGTTCGAAAGGCCTTGGCCGAACAGAGATGGCCCGCAGCTGTGCTCTGTTTGCGCAGTTTTGGCTTCAGGTTCTGCAGGCCGAGTTCGCCAGGCCTTTCATTGTTTCGACTTCGTAGACTTTAAGACTTTAAGATTCGGCACACATATTGATTACGCAATGCGGCTCGCTTGCGGATGTGTTCGCATAGGTCAGGATCTGCTGCAGGCATGCAGATCTTTTGGAACCACGCTGCTCCCTGTGTTGCTCCATGGCATCTGTGGGTCCACCATTGTTGAATCTGCAGGCGCACGGAGGCTGAGCAGCAGCTCGAGCTGAAGAGCACTTCGGCTGTTATGGAGAAAGCCTAGGAGCATGAAAGAAGCATCAACCTCGGAAAGGCGCAATCGAGATGGCACGGGAGAGTTTGTTTCTAGTTCTGGACTCACAGCTACAACTGAGGCATGCGCTTGGAGGACTTGCCATCCATTGTAGCAGAAGAGCCTTTGCAGAGACGGGTTCGACTCTGGCAGGCGCTGGCTAAAGGATATCTATGCACTTTTTTGTGTTTCCCGGCGTGACTGCACTCTAGGACTTCAGGTCGCGCTGACGCTTTTCACGCTTGGTTGGGTTTGACCGCATGATTTCAATAGCTGGGAGTTTCACTGAGGAGTGGTTCCGTGTCAGTGAGTTGATGAGACGCCGGGTGCTGAGATGCGAGCCTTTCGCCGGGTGACCTGAATGCCACAAATCCGAGGCACGAGACTCCAGAGCACGGACGACAAAGTCGATGTCGGTGCTGTGGCGGCATTGGCACTTCTGTTTCGTCCGCGCGCGCATTGCCGGAGCCGAGGCTTTGACATCCAGAGCTTGCCGTTGAGTGTGCCAGGGAGCGTTGTGCAAAGCGTTCATGGCAGTGAGCCAGACGACATGCCCGGAAGCAAGCGCAGCAGCCGGCCCGCACGAGAGACTCGCCCGTCTCCTGCATCATGCGTTGTCACCGCTGGACTAAGGCGAAGGGATCGCCAGCCCCTGGCTTCTGAACAGAGCTGTTCGACATTGCCCCCTGGGTTCCAGAGCCATGTTGAGAAATGCTTTTTTGGTTCCACTCTACATCCTCTTCGAGTAATCTCGATCAAACGCCCCCAGGCAACGGACCCCGACATCGGAACAAACCGTTCGCTGTGTCAGATCGAGGCTTGAGCGAGATCTCACTCTCCGAAGCCGAAAGCTTCTCCGTCACGGAGAGCGTGGTGGAAAGACTACCAAAAACTGCAGGCCTTTGCCCCGGAGACTAGGGGAAAAGCTCCTCTCCTGGTGCATGATGCTCCCCCCTGCTCCAATGCATAACTCTTGCTGCTCTGCAGATAATATGAGAACAAACAAGTCTAGCACTTGCACAGACGAGAATCATGGCTGCATGCCTTTATACCGATGGGCAGACCGCAGCAGGAGTACAGGCCACGTGGCCCAAACTTCGTCAGAATGTGCATAGTCTGCTGGTGGCCTTGGATGTGGCTTCAAAGTCTTCCTCTGATTGACGATGGAGCAAGCTTCCGGTCCCCCCCAAAACCGCAGCCAAAGGCCAACAGCCTCTCATTCTCCTGCCCATCCTTTGATGCGGTTGGCGAGGCAATGTACTCGAAATTCGTTGAGGCAGCCTGAACTGCAGTGTCCCGCCACCAGTACTGTGACTTGAATGACAGGAGCAGTCCAGGTTGCGCGTGCATGCTAGGATCCCTCTTTGGCCGAAGACCTTCCAGGGGTCCATGCATCAGTTATCGAGCTTGAAATCCTGCATCGCCATGTACATGGCAAGCTGCACGGGCAGCAAGCCTCGACCAAGCCGAGCCTTCTGCTCAGAGACCGTTTCACCGAACTGCGATGTGCCTGCCAATTCTACGAGCCCTTCCCTTTGTACTGTCGCAGTGAGCTCCGAAAGCCCAAAACTGTCAGGTGCCGTTCACGGCACAGGCGCTCGAAGAACTTAGAGCCAAGTGCCAGGAGCCAGGTTCACGGTGTACAGTTCCCAGGAAGGCATCTTCGTGCTACAGGAATCCGGGCGCATGAAAGGGCGTTCGTCTAGATCATTCGCGGCACTTCTGGCCCCCTTTCTCAAGGTCGTGTCTACTGCTCAAGATCTCTGGCTGAGTTCCCTGTGATGAAGACTTCCCCCTGAACGCTAACCCGTGCGGTTTCGATCCCGAACAATGTGAGCCATGAGATGCCTTTACGATCGCTTTGCCAATTTGCGCTGGAGTGATCGCGATTGTTAAAAAATCGGAATGTGAATCCACTTTGCGGCACTGCGGCGATGCCACCCTGGATGGGACGCTGGAAGCATGACTCGTCTAGCAGTGCCACTCCCTTCTTTGCACAGACGTTGCCACTTCGTAGGGTTTGTCTCAGTGTGCTGTGGCCGACATGCACTACTTGCCTAGCAGGCACCGTTTGCCGGCAATGCCTATCGGGTCGTGGGCCAAGCGTGGACAAGTTCTGCAGTCCATCACATCTGCCAGTGGCAAGTTTTGGCGGAAGTAAAGGGGATGCTCAGTTGGGGTGATGCATGTCCGGTCACGCCCTTTTGAGTCTTGCTTGCAGAAACCAGACGTAAGGCAATCAAAGATGCCGAGCGTGCCTTCGGCACGGGCGGCAGAGAGGCGGAAGGTTGGGAGGAGGAGCGCTGCGCAAACGCTGATTCCGTTGCTGGTGGTGTCTCGTGTCTTCACGGCGCTGGCAGCTTCGGGTGTCCGCCCCCCCAAGTTCCATCTGGAACCGACAGCCTAAGCGCCAGGAGAATGTGAAAGTAAAGGGGGAGTTCGACTCCGACTCAGATGACGAGCCACCACCTTACAGCCGCTTCAGGTAGAGCTTTTGAGTCCTTTTAAACTTTTGAACAAAGTGCTGGAGCTGTGATTAAGATGCATGTTGAATGCTGTGGTGAGGCGACGTGTTGCAGAAGGTGTTAGATCTTGCATGTGGGGCCGCTTCAAAAGGTGTGCTGATGCTGGACGTGATGCGATGATAGTCCAACAGTCCAACAGTGGAGATTCAGGAAGTTTGACTCTTCTGATTTAAAGTCTGCCTGTAAGTCGTGTTGCAGGTCGGGTGACTCCGACTTCTCCACCGAGGAGACGGCAGCAGTGGCCAAGGAACACCCTTCGCACCTGCTTCTGTTTTCGTGCAGGTGTTTAACGTTTCCAGGCTGAGCGGGGGATGAGGGATGAGGGGTTGGGCACGGGAAAGGTTCCGTCTTTTGCTGGATATGCAGCGCCCCCGGCCAAAGCAGTACCGAGCTCTGCCTGGCGAGGCGATGGCAGCTCCGAAGCGGCGGCGCAAAGAGGCGTGGCAGCTTCAAACCGGGTATCCGGGTTGTTTGGGCAGACGGGTCTCTGCTTGAAAGGCCTTGCGGTTTCTCCCGTAAGTATAAACAGACACCAGAACGCATTTTGGAAAGCTTCCGCTGTGCGAAGTTTCTCTGAATCCTGGAGGATTTTGGCAGTTCCTGATTCCTGCCAGGTGTCACCGAACATCATTCGAGGCAAGCTCACACAGCGTTGCTGTAAACAGTGTGCCTTAATTCGCCATGGTGCAGCCAGGTCTGGACACCTTGGTTTATGAGCTGATCCTGCGTGTTGCGCAACCTGGAGAAGGCTCACAGGGTGCAGTCCAGGTCGAGTGCTTGACGAACAGATCGTGAAGCTGTGGCACTTGTTATGCTTCAGCCATCCTGAACATAGCTTCTCGACTTCGAAGTCTTGCATGCCTGTGCATCGCACAACATCATAGAGCTTTCGCATGATGATCTCTGAAAGGAATTCTGGTATTCCTGCCCGGCATCGGTGAGATCAGTGAGCTGCAAGAGCCGCTCGACTTATCATTGCACATTGGTTGCGAATCTTCGGAGATCTCTTGTAGCCAATGGATTTTCGACAGGATGAGTGAAGGGTGGCTCATTCTCTGCTTGTCGTAAGTCGGGCGCTCGAGAAGAGTTTACAGTAGGGTTCCTTGTCCGCTCAGGGCGCTAATGCCCTTGGAGGACATCGATCAGCAGGCTTGCCAGTGTCTCGCCCCGAGCCCCGACTCGAATTGGGATGCAGAGCGTTCTGCAGGCACACATGAACTGGTCGCCCGGCCTCGAGCGCAACGACCTCCACTTCAAGGCAATCGCCGGGACTCTCTTGGCTGTGGTTCGGACTTGCCTCCTCGAGGTCTTCGTGCTGCATTCCTTGATTCCGAAGGACATACTTGCAAAGGTTCAGGGGTAAATAAAGCTGGCCGCAACCTGTCCAGCTGAAAGTCGAGATCTCGGCAGCAAGACGCCTGGAGCACTATTTCTATAACGTGATAGTGACATATATCATTGACATATCATATCATCAGTCCCAACATGCATGACCTCAGAGCCAGTCTCGGCTCGAACACCAGGACGAGCAGGAAGGCGCCGTCTTTGACCCACCACCGCCGGACACGCCCTGTCCCAAGACTTGCCGTGCATTGCTTCACGAATGCCGAAGCTTCAGCGTGCAGAATGCGTCACCTGGCCGAGGGCTCACATCATCCTGGCTTCCAACATCGCAGAGTCGTCTCTGACGATCCCCAAGGCATGGCCGCAACGACTTAGCCTAGCCGAGCCCTTGCCCTCCGTCCGTGCTCCGCAATGCTCGGTGCGATGCTGCGATGCATGCAGGTTCGCGTCGTCATTGACTTCGGCCTCAGACGCCAGCTGATCTACGACAAGCGGCGGCATATGTCAACGACTCAGTGCCGAATACGCGCAGACCTGCTTGAGGATGTTGCATTTCAGCAAGAAGCATGGTCGACTGGCTAATACTTGTTGTGGGGGACATGTCTCAGACCTCGTCGTCTGAGTCGTGCGGGAGAGAGCCAGGTCTTGCTTGGTGACCACGTGGGTATCACAAGCCTCAGCCAAGCAGCGATGTGGCCGGACTGGTCGTGTCTTTGAGGGGGTAGCGCACTCAGCAGACGCAGATCCGAAGCAGACATGTTCAGTTTCACACTCTCCAGGTCAACATCAGGCTTTACACCAAGCAGTTCTTCGAAAGCTACATGGATGAGTGGGGCTCTCAGTGTAGCGACTGAAGATTGAAGCTTGGATCGGGTTTTCTTGGATTCGGTTTTCCATGTGTCCATGGCAGGTTCGATCCTCCAGAAATGCAAACAGCTCCGCTTGAGAAGCTCTACGTGAATGCACGGGTCTCGGAACATGCTTCCCTGAAGTTGTCTCAACTTCTCGAAGAACTGCTTCCTGCGTGCTGGGAAATGGAAGCTTGTGAATTGAAGAGACAGCAGAAGTTTTGCTGATTCTCTGACATATTGATGAACAGGTGAAGCACTTGAGTGCCAAGCTTCCTGCGTACCAGGCCTGTCATGCTCCAGCAAGCTTCATGCATTGACTCAGAACGGCTCGGTTCGCCCACGTCAGCTGCAGGGACCTCGCAGGAGTGATGTTGAGACTTCCGTCTCAGACTTCGGTGAGGTAACACCCACTGAGTTCCGCAAGCGCACTCCAAAGGAGCTCCTGCGCAGCCGACACCATTAGGGGGTGCAAGGCATGTGGCGGACGGCCTCGTGTATTCTTGGCACCAAAGACCATGTCATATCATGTTCTTTACTTCGATGTCGCCCGGTTTCCTTGATATTGCCCTCAGGCCAGGGCTTAGCGGCTTGGCTACAAGGGGGTTGCCTGCTGACTCTGTGTGCTTCTTGAAAACCAGCAACCAGACGTTGGGGCGTGCGGATCTTTTGCGAAAAGCCCACAACCCTCGTCGTGGAGCTCATGTCTGGTTGAATATGTTGAATGGCCGGCAGAATACGATGTGGTCCTCGAAGCTCGACTGCCTGGCAGAAAATCTGATCCCGCAGTCTTTTGTCAACCTGCGCACATACAGGGGCGGATGCGGAAGGAATGACATTAGGGAGATGAATAAGATAGAAAAGCATTCTTGGCATGGACATGCCCTTGACGTAGACTCGCAGACGTAAAGCATAGCAATGCCGATCCGCAACTTACAGAGAGGGCCGAATAAGGAAAGGGATGAAAGGGATCTTGGACATGCGGTCGTGCCAGGATGCTTGTTGCCCAACCACCAGAGGAAAGCGCCCGGACCCTGTCTTCGAACACCGGATGCTCAAATGTTTTGTCTCGAGCGCGTTTTGACTCGGGTGGCGAGTGACTTCATTGGTCAATTCGTCTTGGAGCTATGTGACGTGGTGGCCGAAGGATGCCAGCATTTTGTGTGGCAACTGCCCAGGCCATTGCAAGCTCCATCGAGGCCATGCATGATGCCAGCTAATTTGTTGTCTTCGTGTGTCTTCCTGGACGTTTTGCGATGATGGGGTAAGACCTTGGAAAGTGAGTGCATCTAACAGTACTTTGGTAAAATTGCCGGCTATTGCACTCGCTGCTTCGTGGAAATTTGCATTCAGAATGCGAAGCATCTCATGACAAAGCACCTGCGGCCTTCTAAGATTCAATGTTTAGGGGCTAGGCGGCGCCCGGAGTCCGACAGGTTACGCAGCGCGATGCTGGTAGCTAGTTGTCACAAGCTTAGCCGCTTTAGCCCAAAGTTCACTGCAGTCGAGCAAGCACAGCCTGACTTTTGTTTGAGCCTCCATTCTCCTCATGTGGTTGGAGTCTCTCAGGGAGCTCGAGCTTCTACCTTCTTTAGCACTCATATCGGGAACAGAACAGTAGCTGGAAGCCGGAATCCCGAACGGAACCTTCAGCATGGACACGAGACACGAGTACGAATGATTTGCAATCACGGCTCGCTTTCCTCGAATGTCAGCCACGACTTCAAGGACCCAGCGGGGAGCCAGCATCCATCAGCATCCTGAGCATCATAGGGATCCCAATGTCGCTGTGGAGCAGCATCATATGGCATCATGATCATCATGGAAACCGCGTTTCTCATCTTTGAGGCTGCCGAGGGTGTCCTCCCTTCAACATCGCGTTCATGTTGCAACGTGTCGTCCTGGTGCCGAAAGCACGACGTCGACCAGTCTTCGCACAGAGGCGTGCTGATGATGCCCCTCACTCTCAGGTTGGCTCAAAAAAACACGCTTCGGCGGGACGCACCGTCAGAGAGTGGCAAAGGCGCTTGCCGTTGCTCCACATGACATCTGCAGATGCCGAGACCTGAACGGGTGTCCTACAACCCGAAAATGGCCCACAAACCTGCATCCCACAGGAATTGAAATTTGTAAACCCACCAGGCCGACGACAGGCCATCAATCCCACGGTGCTTGAAAGCCAACTGCATTGCTGGCAACCCGGCACCCCCCAACGAGTGCCCAGCTGCGCTGGAACACAAGCGGACACCTCGAACATTTCTGGGACCATTGTTACTTCCCTAAAACCGGTGCCACTGTCGGTGGAAGGCTGACGTACTTGGGCCATAAACTAACAAATTGCAGCTTTCATAAACCGCCAATTAACGCTCAAAAACCCCCCAGCTCAGAGATGATGGAAGCGGGCTGGTTTAGCGCGAAGGGCCATGCGGCTCGCACTGCCGACTTACTACGCACATGAGCCCGGAATCCGTCGTAAGCTCGTGCGTGTGTGAACTTGTCAGAACCTGGACCAGCTCGGAGCGCTGACAAGTGACTCGGAGTCCGCAGAGCTGACGGTCCTCGGGTGCGCCCCGGGGAAAGAAAGCGCAGCCAAAAGCCTGCCTCTTTGATAATGCTCACTTCCTTCACTGTCCTCATGGCGCTGCAACACAGCATCGGAGATGTTGATGTCGTTGTTAGAAAACTGTTCGCAAGCATCGGTTCTAGCCATGGCATGCCATGGCCGCATCCTGAGTCCTAAGGCTGATGTGGAGTCCCGAAAACCGCAAGCTCTGAGACCCACAATCTCGAGCCGGGAAAGTCTGCCAGAAGTCCCTCAACTTGGACCAAAGCATCAGGTACTTGATGATGGCGGTTCCACTAGACGTCCGAACCTCTTCTTTGAGTGCTTTGCTATGCGCACGTTTTCGCAAGATCCAATGCACTGACAGGCACAGGTGGCCCTTGAGAGCTGGTCCAAACTGCCACCGCCGTGATTTCAGGTTCAGCTCTGCCGCCTGGTCATTTTCGGCGCCCTACTCGGCATGCCGTGCGCCGCTGACCTCAGTTTTTCCAGCTGGGGAACGAATGCCTTTCGCGGGCTCAGACGCGGGGTAACTGATCCCCTACAGCTGAGCCGGAGACGGCTTAGCAACCTGATAGGTTGGTAAACACCACTCGGCACCGCTTCTTCCCTTCAGATGAATGCAAAAAGAGTCGCAAACTTAGGCTGTTCAGTCGCGGAATGCACGAAGATGGCCTGAAATCATGTGATGCTATACTACACCATTAAACTATCTTATGCTAAGTTTTGCTATGATACTCTATGCTATGTTATGTCTCGCTATGCTATACTACATGTTATCTTATGCGAAGCTATGGTACTCGTACATCATACTCTACTATGCGGTGTTGTGGTTTGTTATACTAGCTATTTTTCGTAATGCTGTGTTACGCCTTGCCATGACATGCCGTGCAAAGTTATGCCATGCTACATCGTGCTATGTTGCGCTGCGCTGTGTTTTATATGTTACGTTATTGCCTTTGGGGTGCAATAGGAAGGTTGTCGACAAGCTGGGGTACCATATCCGAAGCGGTTAGGAGGCAGCAACAGCCGAAGTCACATCACCCGAGGAGGGAGTCGTGTGCGCAGCAGCGACCAGCGTTCAGGCCTGACTTCCGTGCGCGAACTATCATTCTGCCAGAGCTGCATGGGACCAGAGCAAAAGGATTGTGTTGGTTCACGGAAGCGACTAGACGATGCGAGCCGTTCCACTGGCTGATGCTTGCCGTTGCAGGATCCATTCACATTGCCCTCGCACCTCATCATGAAGGATCCCAAAGAATATGCTGAGGCCCGCCACTGACAAAAAGTACATTTGCGCGCTTGCACATGATGTCGTGGTGCAGGCAGTGCGCCGAAGCTACGAGTCCAGGAAGTATTTCGACCATGGCCACTGGTCGGCTCGCTGGGCTCGCTTTGACAGTGCCCCTCGATGCCTTCGGTGCCTTGAGCTGCTGAAACTTTCTCGCCTGTCAGGAGCCGCTGATGCTGCGCAACTTGTCCCTGGCACGGATATGGGGGAGATACGAGTAGCGATGGATCCAAGAATGGCCTCCATCATGAGCTTCAGAATCAGGCCATCAAGCTCCCGGGGTGCAAGTCCCGTACCTTGAAACCCCAGGCCAATGCAAGCTCTTTGTGGGAGCACTCAAGCTGAGGACGAACGGTTTTGAACGCTCGTGCTCAGCCATTCAAGCAAAGTCAGGTTTGTGCACTTCCTGTTGGAGTTCCGGAAGATGCAGATCGACAAGTGCAACCGTCGTGGGCCCTTGCCCTAGATTCGTGGACAAATCAAACAGCAACCTGCAGCCGTTCTGCGTTTATTTAAGCCGGATGAGAAGTCGCACTGAGGCGCGTGGGCCGCGAGTCCACACGTAGCGCCTTCACGCGCTGTGCACAACGTAGCCAGCCCAGTTCCCATGTGGCATACCGAACTTTCAAGATCCTGGCATGCTTGGCTGGCCGGTCCGGTGGCCGCGAGTTGCCAGTTTCGGTTACGAAATCTACAGCTGTGGTTGCCCCCTCCGTCCGCTCTGCTGAGTCATGGCATCGAAGTTTGCCGTCGTGCCCAAGCGCCTGGTCAACTTGGCTAATGCGACTTGACTTGGTCATTATTTCAGCAAGGTGGTCGTTTGGTAAGCCGAGTAGACGCTCGTGCCATCTCGTGCCCGCACGCCAGCCTCCACAACAGATACTGTCAGGGCATGTTGCAACTGGAAGAACGGAAGACGGTCGTAGCAGTCCCGCAGCTCCCGCAGCTCCGCAGCAGAGCATTCCTGAGAGGCAATTCTCGACACGGCTGGAGCCCTGGCCGAGTGCAGCTGCCCCAAAGCTTGGCGGGAAGCCCTCATTTTCTTCTGCTCTCCGAGGCCACGCGCATGCGAAAGTTCCTTCCCGAGGCGACTCGAGCCTCGAGCCTCGTTGGGTCTGAATTGGTTCTGATCGCCAGGGCTCCGCTCTCCTCAAGCAGCTCGAGAGTCTCCTGAGCCTGCTGCAGGAGCCAAGCTGCTGACATGGTTCACGGTAAAGCCTTAAAGTTCACTACTGCAAGCCAGGCAGGCGAGAGGGTCTACAGCTCTGTGGAGGCTGCGGAGGCATGGTGTTTCGACAGATTGCATTGTCCGTTGAGCCGTGGATTTGCGAGATCCTGGGACAGCGACTGCACCAACCAACATCAACCAGAATGCAAGATTCATGCATGCATACTTCGATTTGGGTGCTCCGGTGTTTGCCACACTTTGTGTGGACGGTGGCCAGAAATACTGGTTTGTTTACGATGTAGTCGAGGGTTTGGGGAATGAAAAAACTGGACACAGAACTGCTCAGCTGCAGTTTGAAAGTTGCGCAACAGCATGGTTACTTGCGACAAGCCTGAATGGCCCAAAGTGTGCTTTCAAGGCTCAACGGACGTTGTTTGGCGGATGCTCTAGCAAACGGCTGCTCTAGCAATTGGACGTGGCAATGGTTTTGGGCATTATTATGGCGATAGCATGGATGCCCTGGCAAACGGATGCTCTGGTGAACAGATCTCAGATGTTGTTTCGTTGGGCGTGGATGCTCTGGCAAACTGTGGATGCCGTGGCAAACAGATGCTCGTGTAATTGGACGTTGTTTATCGTTTCGGGCATGGATGCTCTGGCAAACGGATGCTCTGGTAACTGGACGTTATTATGGTTTTCGCATGGATTCCCTGGCAGACGGATGCTCTGGTAAATAGACGTTGCTATGTTGGTCATGCATGCTCTGGCAAACGGTGGATGCCTTGGCAAACGACTGCTCTGGTAAATAGCCGTTGTTCTGTTGGGCATGGATGCTCTTGCAAACGGTGGATGCCTTGGCAAACGACTGCTCTGGTAAATAGCCGTTGTTATGTTGGGCATGGATGCTCTTGCAAACGGTGGATGCTTTGGCAAACGGCTGCTCTGGTAAATAGCCGTTGTTGTGTTGAGCATGGATGCTCAGGCAAGGCAAGCGGATGCTCTGGTCAGTGGATGCTATTTACTATGATTTTGCTAGGGATACCCTGGCAAACGGATGCCCTTTAAATAGACTGTGTTATGTCGGGCATTGACACTCTGGAAAACGGTGTTGAATCCCCATGTGCCGATCCCGGAGTCATTTGCCAAGCAGCGCCAACAAATTTACCCCACAGTTTTACCAATCTGTCTGTGTGCCTGTTTGCCGGAATCGATTTGACTGACTGCCTCTCTGCCTTTTCTCTGTCTCTGTCTGTGTCTCTGTCTCTGTCTGTCTCTCTCTCTCTTTCACTTTCACTTTCACTTTCACTTTCACTTTCACTTTCACTTTCACTTTCACTTTCACTTTCACTTTCACTTTCACTTTCACTTTCACTTTCACTTTCACTTTCACTTTCTCTTTCACTTTCACTTTCACTTTCACTTTCACTTTCACTTTCACTTTCACTTTCACTTTCACTTTCACTTTCACTTTCACTTTCACTTTCACTTTCACTTTCACTTTCACTTTCTCTTTCTCTTT